GCTGGCCGAGATAACATCTCCGACCCTGCAAAACGACTCAGGAACAGAGGCGGGAGGAGATCGAAAGGATGGAGATGAGGTCGCTCTCGCTCTCGCTCTCCTTGGCGGAAAGACCCCTTCTGGGCCGCGCGGACTCTATAGCCTCGCCCCAGCTTTGGAATAGGGCCCTTTCAGACCGGGCGCCATCTTGGATCGGAAGCTAAGTCTCTGGAGGCGGCGACGAGGAGAAGCGGAGCCACGCCCTCTTGGCTTCGGAGCGGCATCGGCGGCGGGAAAGCGAAGCGGGAGTGCGGCGGCGGCGGCGGCGGCGGAGAGAAAAGCGGGCGGGGAGCCGGGATCCCTGCAGCTGGGGGCAGCCTCGGTCCTGCCATGGCCGGCGCGCTTCCCGCGGGGCTCCGAGAGAGCCTCCCTTGCCCGGCGGCGCCCATCCCGCTGCCGCCCCCCTCGCCCGGCGGCCGGCCGGACCCCGCCGTGGCGCTCACCCCGGAGCGGACAGGCAGGGCGGCCGGCGGCGGCGGCATCCTGCGGCGGGGATGGCAGGAGAAGCCGGGCCCCAGAAACGTAAGGGGGTGGGAGGGACCCTTTCACTGCTGGGGAGTCTGCCCCGCGCAGGGGATGGACTGGATGCCCTTAAGAGACCCATCCAAGCTGAAGATGCTCCCTGCAGATGGTCTCGGGGAGGGGGGGAAACCAGCCCGAGACACGTAAAGGGAAAGGGGGGGCACACGGGGCAGAGGGACCCTTCCTTTAACTGCTTGGGAGTCCGGCCCCGTTCAGGGGATGGACTGGATGCCCTTAAGGCGTCCTTTCAAATTGAGGATGCTCCCTGCAGAGGGCTCAGGAGGGGAGGGGAGTTAAGGGGAGAAAAGCCGGCCCCAGACCCGTAGTGGGTGAGGGGACCCTTTAACTGTTTGGGAGTCCTGCCCCGTGCAGGGGATGGACTGGATGCTCTTAAGGGCCCCTTCCAAGCCGAGGATGCTCCCTGCAAGTGGGGAGTGGGGGGAGAAAAGCCGGGCTGGGGGCTTCCCTTGGAGAACACCCGGGTGTTTTCTCTCTCTCTCTCTCTCTCTCTCTCCACCCCTCCCCGCTGCAGGTCCGCTTTGGGACGGTCGAGCAGAGAGAGAAGCAACCGGGAGTTGCCGGCCTCCCTGGGGACCCCCAGGGAGTTTCCCGCACGGTGAGGAAGGAGCCCCGGGGAGCCAATACTGCCCCCCACCAGCTGGGGGCTCCGCTGCCCCACAGCAGCCTGGCCCTGGAGGCGGAGGTGCGGGCCACGCGCAAGCAGCCCTTCGACGCCCGGCAGGCAGCAGAGCAACTGGTGCAGCGCTCCTTCGTGGCCCGGTGCACCGCGGAAGCTTGCGTGGGCGAGGGTGAGCGGGGAGGGGCCTCTCGGGGGGGGGAGGGGAACCCAGCAAGGCATTCTGCAGGGCCTTTTCTGTGGTGGTGGGGGGAAGAGAGGGACCGGGGCCTCAGTGGGGCCTGATGGCAGCAACCCTCACTGACTAGGAGTGAGGGAGACTCTCATGCCCATAATGCCCAGCCACCGGGTGCTCTGGGCCTTGCCAGTCTGGGTGCCTGGGCAGCCCTACGCATCGGGCTGAAGGATTACACGCCCTCTTCTCCCCACGTTCGCCTTTGCACCCACGATTTTGTCTCGCAAAGCGAGATGTCCCCGAAAATGCGTTTTGGCCTAAGGCGCCACCTTTTCTTGCCATGGTTGTTCAGCGAGTCCCTGGGCTTGTTAAGTGAGTCGCACCCAGTTGCTAAGCGAATCCGGCTTCCCCTATTACTCACTTCGAGAGAAGTTGACAAAATTTTGTTCGCAAGTTTGAAAAACCACATGGAATCCCGTTTTTTAACCCAAGGGCCCTTCTAACTTTGGTCACTAAACGAACTGTTGTAAGTCGAAAAGTATTCGGGGCAGAGGGTCTCCGTCCCATTCATGGGGCGGGGAGGGGCAGCTCAACACCTTGGGGGAGGTTTTTAAAGGGGGGAATCCTCTCCAGGGATGGGGTTCACCCACGCTCCCCGTTCTTCTCTTCCAGGGCTGAACATCCCGCGGGAGCAGCAACTCTACCGGGGCCTCATCAGCCTGCAGGTGCCGGCTGACCAAGTGCTCAACTCCGCCGTGCAGGAGAGACTCGCCCTCGTCCAGTATCACCCCGCCCCCGGGGACAGAAAGGTGGGAGAGGGGCCCTACCGATGGGCCCATGGGGGGGGGGGCGGGGTTTGCAGGCAGCAGCGGGTGCTTTGCCCGCGATCCGCCAAACCGGTCTTCTTGTTGCAGGAGGCGGCCGCCAAGAAAGGACCCGACCTGATGGCCTTTTACCGGCCGGGGGAGCTGTTCACAGAGACCCCCGCCTTGGAGGTGGGGGGGCTGCCCCCCATGAAGCTCCAGGCCCAGAAGCGCCCCCCAGACACCACTTTCCTCATGCACCGGAAGCTGCAGCAGTGGGCCAGCTGAGGCTGGAAGCGGGTGCTGGGCACGGAAGACTGCTGGTTCTTGACACACAAGCATCTCTGCGCACGCACGCACACAATCACACACACAAAAACACACAGAGTGGCCGTCTCTACATAAACTCTTTAACTGCCAGCGCATTGTGTGGTTCTTTTTGTGTGTTTTTGCTTCGCTATTTGGCAATTATAACTTGAACTTGAAGAGAAAGGGATGACAAGCAAGCAGGCGGACTGCAGAGAAAAAGATTACAAAAGAGTAAGGAGGCAGATTGCAGAGGAAGGGATGACAAGAGAGAAAGCCGGCAGATTGCAGAGGAAGGGATGACAAGAGAGTAAGCGAGCAGATTGCAGGGAAAAAGATTACAAAAGAGTAAGGAGGCAGATTGCAGAGGAAGGGATGACAAGAGAGAAAGCTGGCAGATTGCAGAGGAAGGGATGACAAGAGAGGAAGCAGGCAGGTTGCAGAGGAAGGGATGACAAGAGAGTAAGCGGGCAGAATGCAGAGGAAGGGATGACGAGAGGAAGCAGGCAGATTGCAGAGGAAGGGATGACAAGAGAGTAAGCGAGCAGATTGCAGAGGAAGGGATGAGGAGTAAGCAGGCAGATTGCAGAGAAAGGGATGATAAGAGAGAAAGCAGGCAGATGGCAGAGGAAGGGATGACAAGAGAGAAAGCCGGCAGATTGCAGAGGAAGGGATGACAAGAGAGTAAGCGAGCAGATTGCAGGGAAAAAGATTACAAAAGAGTAAGGAGGCAGATTGCAGAGGAAGGGAT